CCAGAGGAAGCGTAGGACGTCGCGGTCGGCTGCCTCAATCCCAACCATCAAGAACGCCTTTTCTATGTCTGCGGTGAAGGCTACCGCATGCGTTCGGAACCGGAGCAGTATGCTGGTGATCTGCTCGAGCAGCGGTGGTCCCGTGTGGATGCAGTCGTTCAGGGACGGATGCGTCTTCACCTTGGCTGAGGCATCGTACACCACACGAACCTTCGTAGTGGTCTTGTCCTGCCGAATGACAGGATGGTGAGGCAGGTAATGTACTTCGCCCACCACGTCGTGCTCTGTAGTTGGCACCTCCTCGATGATGCCCTTCTGAAGTTGCTCTTGAATTACTGCATTGTATTCCTTCAGAATTTCTGGTGACTTCTGCAGTTTCTTGAGTGTTGACTGCAGCCGTTTCTCGGACAGACTGTAATTGTCTGGAAGCGCGATGATCCTCCCTCCATGGCAACCTGACCGTGTACCTCTGCCCATCGTAGCGGATGGTCTGTTGGAACAGCTGCAGAGTGTCCGGTTCATTAGGCAAGATGCCGATGGATTCAAGCTGCCAGAACTTCTGGAGTAGCTGGACCAAAGCGCTGTCTGGATCTTGCACGGTAGATGGTTCGACATCGCAAGCGTGAACGGTGGCGACGTTAGTGGAGATGATGCCTGAATTACACCTGCCTGTTGGTCCAGACAGAACCCACCCGAGGCGAGTATCGAGAGCAGTTGGCCCATCATCTACACGAACGATGTCGCCCGTGACGATCTGCCAATAAACATCAGCGCCGAGTAGAATGTCGATGCTAGCTGAGCCGCCACAGTTGTCGGCGAGACTGAGATTCTGTAGAGACTCGTAAGCTGTGAGTACATCTGCGGTGTGCTGATTTTGCACGGGTGCACAGACTGATGGCACGACGATGCAGTTGACACGAATCCGGTTGCCATCGACGCACTGAATGTCCAGTTCGACCACGTCCCGGAGTGTGCTTGGGCTTGGCTGTTCGCCGCCAAACGCGTTTATCACTACACGTTCTTGACCGGAGCGGCGCACATCCAGCTGAGTCAGTACCGATGATGTAGCGTACGAGCGTTGGCTCCCACCGTCTAGCATTACTCGCACAGGCACTTTTCGATCTGGACGTTGAGGCGAGACCACCGAGGTCTGTGCGGTTTGTAGAAATACAGCTCCGCTGTCGCTGACAGTAGCTGCGGTTGTTGACGAAAACACTGGCTTCGACCATTTTCCACTTCCGCCTTGTCTAGATGGCGGAGATGTCTTCGCGCCAGTCCCAGGCTGCTCTGACGACTTGGGTTCGCAAATGGACGTATGATGTCGATGCTCACATTTGCTACATCTCAGCTTAGACTTGCAGTCGCGAGCCATGTGGTTCTTCTTCAGGCAGATGAAGCAACGACCATTCTTGCGTATCAGCTCCTTGCGGCGCTTGATGTCTGTGATGGACGAACATTGCGAGGACTCGTGTCCGCTGCCGCAAAACACACATTCTACGCTCGATGAGGTGACGGTAAGAGCTGCTGCTGTGGAAATGTCTGATTTGGCAGGCTTGCTCATCAGACGTGTGGCTGCAACGCTATGCGAGACACTCTGCAGGGTCTCCTCCGCTTCCGTGCGGAAATCTGCTTCCCGTACTAACCACTGCAATAGCGAGTCGACCGACTCGACAATGTTGTTATCGCAACGCCACCGGTGGTACGCCGTTAACAGATCTTGGCTCAGCTTCTGCTGCAGCTGAGTGCAGAACGTACCGTACGACAGCTCATTCTGACGGCCAGCATCAATCAAGTTAATCTTGGCGACTTGCACAAGATCTGCGAAACGCTCAAGCTGTTTGGCTGTGCCACGCTCACGGATTGCTGGCATGTCCTGGAGCGCGGACATGTGGACGGCTGTTTTGCGCTTCTCACCTCCGTACTTTTGGTCAAGTCGCTGGAGTGCTGCTGCGTAGGCCGCTGCCGAGTAACCATACGTCTCAACAGTCTTCAACGGTGGACCGGACAGATATTGCCTGAGCTGCAACAGCTTCAGCTCCGGTGACAGAGGCTGTTGATCGACGCAGACGTTGAAAGACGTACGCCATGTGCCGTATAGCTTTTTGTCGCCGTCAAAGGTTGGTATCTTGATCTTTCTTAAATGGCGGTAAACGTCTGATGGTGGATTGCCTTGCGGTGCATGCGAAGGACCAGGTGTGAATCCTGGTACTGGTCCAGTCAATCCATACCCATTTGGGGTTCCGCCATAAGGGCCATAATTGGATGCTGATTGTTGGCCTGGGTACAGTGCACTTCCATTCTGTGCAGGCGATCCACCAAAAACGGCGTTGACTGGTGGAGGTAGAGCTGGTGATGGGTATAAACCACTGACATTGTACTGCGTCTGTAGTCTTTGTACCCCAAAAACGGCGTTGTTGGACGACACTGCTGCAGGTGGAACTGGTGACCACTGTGTCGAACCAGCTAAATTAGGCGTTGTACTACACGGCGGCGGCCACTGGCTAGCTGCCGTATCTGGCTGCGTCCATTGCGGGGTTTGACTCTGGGCCGCTTGTAATTGTGGCACTCCGAGTACGTCGAGCGGCAAGCGGCTACCGTAGGGGATCGTACTCGCAGAGGCCGGGGCCAGGTGGGAATGTGCTCCAAAAGAGGCTGATGCTGATGCTGCTGGACCACCATAAGCGGACGCTGGGTCAGTCGCGGTGCCGAAACCCTGAGCAAATTTCGTCGTGTTTACTCTCGACGACGTACCACTCGCCGTTAGTGTACGAGCTGAACTGAGGCTGTGTAACTGTTGTTGTGTTGGTGTAGTTGTTGTTCCGTATTGCAGCGTTGGTGTTGCAGCTGTGATCGTGAATGTGCGATTGTCGTTTGTTCGTGTTGTGTTGGTGTAACCAGCACTCGAGACTGGTGTACTCGTGCTCGTCGTGTTCTGCGTGATCTGTTGACGTCCGATGTCGTACGGTGACGAGACTGACGACTGTCGAGGGTTGGTACCGGTGTCACTACTGCTCACAGCCAGACGCAAATCTGTACTCACGCCAACACCGGCACCTGGTTGTTGCTGCTTGCGCTGCTCTGCTGGGACGTTGTTCCGGTCGAGGTCGCGCGCTGCTGGCCCTGTGGCCCCTGTAGCTGCTGACGGGATACCAGATATATCAGGCATGGACATGACTACATTCGTGCATGCACTATCCTGGCCTACAAACACAAGCTCCGTAGCTGCGGTGTTAGCATCCGATGCGGGAATGTGTACGGTACTACCACTAGTACTGAGTTCACTCTGGCCACTGGCCTGTACACTACGACTCGTGCTGGATGTATCTAATTCTTGCATGCTACTGCTACTCCACTGGAGCTGCTCCTGTGCAGTTCGTATTTTGTCTGTGGCTGAAATGGATTCCAAATATGCCTGAACTCTCTCTGGGTGACGGGTGTATCGCAACCCCGTGATTTCGCTTGTGTGTGCACTGTTGTATCTACTCATGCTGATATTTGCTAAAGTAGTGCTGGCCTGCGTCACTGCCTCAGTGTACGACACCTCTAATTCTGCAGTCTCCTTTGCCAAACTATCTAAATAAGTAGGATTCTTGCAAAATATATCTGCCAGCTCTGAAACAACCTCCATCACGGAGTTCATCCTGTTCTCGAGCATTAGTAGCCCATATTTAATCTCCTCGACACTCACGGTTTCCGATACGATGGACACCAGCAACCCACGGCGGACATTAGTATATTCCGTCTTCGCTTTAGCCTTGGCGATCTTCTGCTGCGGACCAATACTATCTGCCATCTCTAGTCTTCTCTGGTTCGAATCCGGCTATCCGGCTCGAAGGACCAATTTACAAAAGGTTGTCTTTGTAAGGTTGCTTTGGCTCAACGCGAGCGCATCTTGGGTTCTCTTAGACTCAAACAAACTGTTGCTTATCATTAGACAACGTAAAACCAATGAAACAGAAACGACACGAGGAGACAAGCTCGAGGAAAAAGGGCTAGAAAACCGTATGTCGTACGTGAAGACCATGGGAACGTCGTAGACGTCCATGGCGCAAAAGGTAAGTAAAATACTTTAGAAGACACGATAGAAAGAAGAAAGAAGACTGTATAATCAATTGCTTGTGTGCTTGTATGTATGCTTGGTGCGAACCATTAGTTTGTGACAATACTCTTATTCATGCAATATCTAACAAGCATGCAATCTCTAACAAGCATGCATTATCTAACAAGCATGCAATATCTGACAAGCATGCAATCTCTAACAAGCATGCACTATTGACAAGCATGCAATATTCCACACACATGCTGTAGAGGGCTACCAGTTACAGTGCATGTATACATGCTGTAGAGGGCTGCCAGTTACAGTGCATGTATACATGCTGTAGAGGGCTACCAGTTACAGTGCATGTATACATGCTGAAGAGGGCTGCCAGTTACAGTGCATGTATACATGCTGAAGAGGGCTGCCAGTTACAGTGCATGTTTACATGCTGTAGAGGGCTACCAGTTACAGTGCATGTATGAATACACATGCAGCAATACGCAAGAAAACAACCAAAGGAATGTGGATTCAGAGACATGCACACCAAGCATGGCCGCTTGCCACACATGATCTGGATGGTCAGCAGTAGTCAGCTGTACTTCACCAACACTGACTTTCACTGCAACACGAACCCTGTTGGGACCTGCTGAAAAGTCCAACGTACACGAGTTGTGCGTCTTATCAGAGGACGTCGTATCCGCATACATTTGTATATGCGCTTATGGGTAGGGCTGAAACGATCGTGATATTTCCTTAGTGGCTTAGCTGATATCATAGCGATCGGCTTGCACCCACGGTAGAAATATTACCTCTCGTCGTCAAGATTTGTACTTTTTTCAAGCCGATAAGCCAATAGCAACTAAGAATACTCATTCGATATCTTTTCTAACGAGTAATTGCCAAGTAATCGGTAAAATCGTTTCAGCTCTACTTATGGCAGGCGAACCTCAGCTCTACTTACCAACGTATGGCTTGGCACAGAATGATGACCATGGTGCTACGCCGCCGGTCTTGTTCACCACACAGTATTCCGGTGAGCTGCATTCTGGCTGGCATTGCACTAGGCATGTGGGAACAGGAGAACATCGCAGAACAGGCAACACACATACCTACTGAATAACTTCCTGGACTGTGGCACAATAGGGACTCATGCATCAATTTCCCGGGGCAAGTCCACTACAACCGTACACACTGTGATACCAGCTCGGAATAAACGGTCATGAACTTTGCAAGTCCTATTCATAAATGTACTAGAATTAGTTGTACCTGCCGGGCAAAAAGGTGACGGCCATCTTCCATGCATACCTCCCATTCTACCCTTCACTAGCCGCCTGCCTTCATTCTGAGCTCTGAGCTCTGAACATCATCTCCTTATCCAGTAGTGACAACACTTAGCCCAGCCATATACTGTGCCCAACAGAACTCTGCTGTGTTCATCATCCTTGACTCTGCACGGGTAGATTCAGGGTGGGGGGGGGGAGGGGAAGGGAGAGAGAGGAGGGGAGAGAGAGGGGGGGAGGGGTTCAAACGGACCCCAAATTCGTTTCCGACCACAGTTCAGGTGTGACCACTAATAAGCGACCTCTGGTTTTACCAACCACCTGATTTTACCGATCGTGTTTCTATGCACGGAAAGTTCTACACAGAAACTACACCGGATACAGCGACCACCTGCCTTACGCGACCAGCGACCTACTTTTAGTGTACCGAGTGCCATATCTGACCTGCATACAGCGACCAAAACTAGCCAAAAGTGCCATCCTGGCTGGCAGGCTTGACTGCAACAGGTTTGAAATGCGCTCAGAAGCAAGTGCAAGAAGTCAATAGAAGTGACAAGTGCATACAGTGCCGGGTGCACGGGTGCACTGTATGCACTTGAGTGAGGTGTGAAACTCACGAGTGTTTGCCTGCACGTAATAGTATTCTATGCTCCACATCTGTTAGTGTGAGAACATGGACGTACATGTACATGTGTGCACACGATTCGATATGCCACGAATGTATGCAACCTGGTTCTAAAGACAACTTGGCTCAAACGACCGCTTTTGCTTGCACCGTGGGGTGGTCGCTTCAACCAGGTTTTACTGTATATCCATACGACTGGCGCCAAAGCTAGCGTGGTCCGGTAGCTTGGTAGATGGGAGATCTGCATCTGCATGAAAGCAACCATTAACAACAGCATGCACTGCTTACAGGAAGCATTGAGCTTCATAGATGGGGCAGGATAGTGCACGCATCTGACTGTGGTTAAAGTGCTTGTGGGCACTGTGTAGCTACTGTGCTTTGGAGGAAACACTCACAAGAACATTGGGTAGCTACTATGCTTTGGAGGAAACACTCACAAGAACACGCACCGCTACTAGTTGTAGAGCTGCTTGCCGACTCCTGTCTTCGAAAATTTAAATTCAAAACAGTTTCTGAATAGTGCAGCGCTGTTTTTGTCATACTGGGTTGTCCTGATTTTAAAACTGTCTTCGGTTAGTCAAATCGTCTACATACTGTTTCTGCACACACAGTCCAGCTTCATTTCTAAAAGCAGCCTGTGTACAAAACCCAGCCTGTATACCCAGCCTGTATACCCAGCCCAGCCTGTATACCCAGCCCAGCCTGTATACCCAGCCCAGCCTGTATACCCAGCCCAGCCTGTATACCCAGCCCAGCCTGTATACCCAGCCCAGCCTGTATACCCAGCCCAGCCTGTATACCCAGCCCAGCCTGTATACCCAGCCCAGCCTGTATACCCAGCCCAGCCTGTATACCCAGCCCAGCCTGTATACCCAGCCCAGCCTGTATACCCAGCCCAGCCTGTATACCCAGCCCAGCCTGTATACCCAGCCCAGCCTGTATACCCAGCCCAGCCTGTATACCCAGCCCAGCCTGTATACCCAGCCCAGCCTGTATACCCAGCCCAGCCTGTATACCCAGCCCAGCCTGTATACCCAGCCCAGCCTGTATACCCAGCCCAGCCTGTATACCCAGCCCAGCCTGTATACCCAGCCCAGCCTGTATACCCAGCCCAGCCTGTATACCCAGCCCAGCCTGTATACCCAGCCCAGCCTGTATACCCAGCCCAGCCTGTATACCCAGCCCAGCCTGTATACCCAGCCCAGCCTGTATACCCAGCCCAGCCTGTATACCCAGCCCAGCCTGTATACCCAGCCCAGCCTGTATACCCAGCCCAGCCTGTATACCCAGCCCAGCCTGTATACCCAGCCCAGCCTGTATACCCAGCCCAGCCTGTATACCCAGCCCAGCCTGTATACCCAGCCCAGCCTGTATACCCAGCCCAGCCTGTATACCCAGCCCAGCCTGTATACCCAGCCCAGCCTGTATACCCAGCCCAGCCTGTATACCCAGCCCAGCCTGTATACCCAGCCCAGCCTGTATACCCAGCCCAGCCTGTATACCCAGCCCAGCCTGTATACCCAGCCCAGCCTGTATACCCAGCCCAGCCTGTATACCCAGCCCAGCCTGTATACCCAGCCCAGCCTGTATACCCAGCCCAGCCTGTATACCCAGCCCAGCCTGTATACCCAGCCCAGCCTGTATACCCAGCCCAGCCTGTATACCCAGCCCAGCCTGTATACCCAGCCCAGCCTGTATACCCAGCCCAGCCTGTATACCCAGCCCAGCCTGTATACCCAGCCCAGCCTGTATACCCAGCCCAGCCTGTATACCCAGCCCAGCCTGTATACCCAGCCCAGCCTGTATACCCAGCCCAGCCTGTATACCCAGCCCAGCCTGTATACCCAGCCCAGCCTGTATACCCAGCCCAGCCTGTATACCCAGCCCAGCCTGTATACCCAGCCCAGCCTGTATACCCAGCCCAGCCTGTATACCCAGCCCAGCCTGTATACCCAGCCCAGCCTGTATACCCAGCCCAGCCTGTATACCCAGCCCAGCCTGTATACCCAGCCCAGCCTGTATACCCAGCCCAGCCTGTATACCCAGCCCAGCCTGTATACCCAGCCCAGCCTGTATACCCAGCCCAGCCTGTATACCCAGCCCAGCCTGTATACCCAGCCCAGCCTGTATACCCAGCCCAGCCTGTATACCCAGCCCAGCCTGTATACCCAGCCCAGCCTGTATACCCAGCCCAGCCTGTATACCCAGCCCAGCCTGTATACCCAGCCCAGCCTGTATACCCAGCCCAGCCTGTATACCCAGCCCAGCCTGTATACCCAGCCCAGCCTGTATACCCAGCCCAGCCTGTATACCCAGCCCAGCCTGTATACCCAGCCCAGCCTGTATACCCAGCCCAGCCTGTATACCCAGCCCAGCCTGTATACCCAGCCCAGCCTGTATACCCAGCCCAGCCTGTATACCCAGCCCAGCCTGTATACCCAGCCCAGCCTGTATACCCAGCCCAGCCTGTATACCCAGCCCAGCCTGTATACCCAGCCCAGCCTGTATACCCAGCCCAGCCTGTATACCCAGCCCAGCCTGTATACCCAGCCCAGCCTGTATACCCAGCCCAGCCTGTATATCCAGCCCAGCCTGTATACCCAGCCCAGCCTGTATACCCAGCCCAGCCTGTTCACCCAGCCCAGCCTGTATACCCAGCCCAGCCTGTTCACCCAGCCCAGCCTGTATACCCAGCCCAGCCTGTTCACCCAGCCCAGCCTGTATACCCAGCCCAGCCTGTATACCCAGTCCAGCCTGTACAGCCAACCCAGCCTATACATCCATCCGCAAAGTCACAATAACTCACCTTTCGCTGTATCGTCGTTGGTGAATTTGTGCGGCGTGAGATTGTTGATGCTGACACTTTTCCACATACTGGTGTTGGTCGAATCACAGTCCCCAGAGGAACAGGCATGGTTTGTGCACGTCAGCAGGCAGGTAGTGTTGCTCACACACAATGCTTTCTTCCAGATTGCCTTGGCGTCCTCTTTGCGTAACCGTATCTTGCAATAATGCGTAAAGCTGGGTACAACGTGCACCGTTTGGTTGAGTTGATAATACCCACTAGGCGCACTCACAGTACAATTCCATTTCGGGAACCGCAGAGCGTTATTATTGTTGCAAGTTTGACTGCCAAGGCGATAGCGAATCGCCATCGAGCTGATATTTTTGTTGACAAGCACTTCAAACGAGAATTCTTGGCCTGTGGAGAGGAGCAGGCACGCACACACACACACAAGGACACCAAATCAATATCTTTAAAGTCATGTCAACGTCATCCTGGCTATGATCGTAGGAGAAGTGGATCTAAACTCTACGGATGAAGCTACAATGAGGTAAGAGGCGTGACACGCTGATGTCAGTCATGTCACCACAACAAACACATACCGTCATGTTTGTCCCTACACACATTGTATCGCCACACTACACACATTGTATCGCCACACTACATACATTGTCATTGTATTTATTGCTGCTTGATGCAATTCGGGTGATCATGAGTCAGTGAACAACACAGTGCTTTCAATAGGTAGCCTGTCTGCATCATGCTCTGTACTCATGCAGTCAAGAGCCACAATCTCCCGTACCATCACACTGGTTTTGCCTAGACTTTGTTCAGTAGATTATGGTTGCACGGATCTCAGTTCAGTAAGACGGTAACATCAGATGGGTTGGGGCTCCACACGTACTAGTTTGTACGTGAAGGCAGGCCCGGCGGAACCGGTCCGGCTGGTAACGACATAGCCGGACCAACTTGTTGGCTACCAACGTGTGTTGTTGACAGCTGGTTAGGTCATGTGTAGCCAACATATCATACACAAACTGTATGGAAGCCGGACCAATCAAAAACTCCTTCCGCCGGTCCTGAGGGGAGTGTGTGGGTTACAGTCAGGGCTGCGTCTCACCAGCGCGTGTGGAAAGAAAAATGTCGAACGTTCGCTGCTTGGATGACGACTACACCATAGCTTAGTGGTGAAGCATCACTGGTCACAAGCGAGCCGGGGTTCCTGGTTTGAGTCCTGGTGGTGGAATCCAATTTTTTCTTCAGACTTTCACCATTTGCAACTTTCCCTTGCAGTATGAATGAATATTGAATGGATATGCCAGCTGACAATTTTCATGCAGAGATATACCAGTCCACGGAACTCACTGTCAGTTTTGGTGCCGAGTTAACGCACTTTCAGGCTGCATAATAGAAGTATCTAGTTACAACTACTGGACAGTCACTCTGAACTTGTATCATGTGGCTTTTAGCCCTGATAATGGACTTAGTTAGGGTAGCAACAACACGATGGATTAGTAGAAAGTGTATCCTCCCCCGCAGTAATAACATCTGTCCTGTGAAGTTCTGATCCGACTGGCATTGTTTGCTAGTGATGTATGTGTAACTGTAATGGTCATGTAACTCATTTTCTACAGCCACACGGTATTCCTACAACACTACAAACAGCCAATGCACACCGGCATGGGGTTATATGTACGATGGCCTTCCTGCCTTTGCGCACATTCATATGGCACATCACACTTGATTTACCGTGTGCAAAAAGATCGGAAATGAGGATCATCCCCCCCCCCCCCCCACAATCGAAATGCACTGTACATTGCTGACCAGTCTTACACATACTATAAACATTAACACATGCACATGAACACCCCCCCCCCCTTACATACACACACAAGCAGCCACACACACAAGCACACACACGTACAAACACACACACACACGCGCGCATGCAAACACGCCAATACACATGCATACACCCACACATTCTCTCTCTCTCTCTCTCTCTCTCTCTCTCCCACTCACTCACTCTCACTCCCCTTCCCTCACTCTCTGTCTCTGTCTCTCTCTGTCTCTCTCCGTCTCTCTGTCTCTCTGTCTCTCTGTCTCTCTCTCTCTCCATATGAGTTCCTATCAGTTGCTGTGAACACCTTGAGTGGAGAGCACTTGCTCGAGCGTTGAACCGGGTTCTTTTGCAGGGCAGCTTCCCGCCACTGTTTCAACAGGCGATGGCTCCAAAGCAAGCCTGGAACAAGCCATATCGAGGTTGCAAGCCACCCCTCTCAGCAAAAAATTCGAAGAAATTCGAAATTTCAGTGGTGGAAGATTATTATACTATGAAGAGAATTTCAAAAAGTATGTTTCGCGGAGCGATCGCTCAACCTACGTCATTCAAACTTTGCAGGATGGTTCAGACGTACATGCTAGGCATGGAACCACAGGCGATGATGCCATAGCTGACACACAGAGTAACACACACAGCAGATTCGTGTGCACAGATACTAAATTAGTGGACGTCGTCATCTTCTTCCCGCTGATCTCGAATGTACTATGACGTGCTATTTCGCCTGACGCTTACCTGTCTTTATAAATGTAACTTTCTCTCTCTCTCTCTCTCTCTCTCTCTCTCTCTCTCTCTCTCTCTCTCTCTCTCTCTCTCTCTCTCCCACTCGCTCCCTCTCACTCTCCCTCTCCCTCTCCCTCTCCCTCTCCCTCTCCCTCTCCCTCTCCCTCTCCCTCTCCCTCTCCCTCTCCCTCTCCTCTCTCTCTCTCTCTCTCTCTCTCTCTCTCTCTCTCTCTCTCTCTCTCTCTCTCTCTCTCTCTCTCTCTCTCTCTCTCTCTCTCTCTCTCTCTCTCTCTCTCTCTCTCTCTCTCTCCCACTCACTCACTCTCACTCTCCCTCTCTCACTGTTTTCTCCTCTCTCTTCCAACTCAATATGCAAACCTACTTGGTTGAGCTTCGTCCGCGTGCACATCTGCAGGTGAAGTGATTAAAACAAGAAAGAAGAGTGCCTAAGTTCTGTTGAATTACCCACAAATTAGGTCATTCCCCAGCATAAATAATGACTTGATACAATAATTTCAGTAAAGCAACACTACCACTATGAGAGCTGGAAGAATGGTGCAGTCATCACAAATACTCTCAACGAGTGAAGTCAGCGACCAGACAGTTTCAATTACATGCTATACAGGCAGGATTTCTCATGGGGGGGGGGGGGGGTGACATATTCACTCACTGATACTAGTAGGGGTGAAGATAAGTGCTGCAAGAAAACGTTGCGCGCATACCGTTAGTGTGCTATTTTGCTATGCGCACACCAGCCTGCAATTTGAGTGCAATCATACCTGCCAACCGCTGCCAACTCAGGGTCAACCGGAAGGACCAACAGACGCACAGTCGCCATGTTTCTTACCTGATAACATCTGTATGCAGATTATCAATGCCAACTGTACAATATGCTGTACCAGCTGATGGCCCCTTTCATTCTGGGCCATTGTCGTTGCTAGGGTGTTAGCCAATCCGATCCGAAGCTTGCAAACACCTACCTAATAGAACAGACAAAGGAGACAACACAGAAAAGTAGGTGAAGCTGGGCGTGTGTATTATAAGTGTTTCAAAAGAAGCTATGAGGGGAAACAAACTAACTTACACGTCTAGAGGATTGTGCGAAGTATATAAAGGTGAGGTGTGAGAAAACAAAATGTGGGAGAGAAGAAGAAAGAAATAAGAAGAAAAGATCTGAGAGTGTTCCAACAGAATGAAGTTGAAGGCACCACTGCAGCTGTACTTATGGTTGATAAATATAGTGGTTACCGCCATATTGCCAAGTGTGTCTTTACCACCATATTTATCAACCAGTGTTCGAACGGTGTGTACTAATACCAAAGGTGTGTGAAATGAAGGTGTGGAAGCAGGCGAAAGGAATAGAAAGGGATAGAAAGGGATAGAGTGAGGAACTGTCAGGTTTAGGTGTATCCAACCTTTTTTAAATATTTGTTCACACCCCACCTTTAGTTCACCCTATCCTCTAGACTTAAACGTTAGTTTGTTCCCCCGCATAGCTTCTGTTGTGAGACGACTTTTCCTATGATGATAGTCTCAAGAAATCGATTAGGAAAATTTATTCATCATTATTCTCTTTGTTCTTTGGGTAATGTCCGCTTCACTAACACTATTTACTCGTATCGCTATAATACGTGTTTCATTGGTAAAACAACAGGACCTCTGCACTTTCTTATGCGTGCAAGACAAACACGAGTCGACTGCTCCTCACAATTATCCCGTTGACAATCAAAAGCTGAGGTGTGGGAAAAATAGGTAACACTTGCCACAACTCAAGTGGTCGATCTAGTGATAGTAACGTCCTGGGAGGGTTTCGTTTCGTGATGGCTGAGCGTTGAGAGGATGATCTGTGCAGTCTCTCCTCATTCTTTTCGGCAAAGCCCCAATGTGACGCTCCAGAGGAGAGAGAAGACGTCACAGTTGCTACCGTTGACGCCTGATGAAAAAATCAAATGGTGAAATTTCTGCATGAAAATTAAATTTGATTTTACTGGATCTCAACATTCCCCTGTCCCTGAATCTGTCCAGCTGGCCCCTACTACTAGCTACTATCCATTGTACGTCAGATTCGAATGTTTCACCTAACAATCTGCTCCTGCAGCGCTCACCCTCTCCCAAAATTCAAAGTGATGTAAATCACTTTCCAACTGCATAACCCACAATCTCACCTTCTCATAAATTTATCTCTTATTGGCGATGGTGCCATCGTGAGAATAAAGAATTCAAACTTATTCCTGAAGACAGATGGGGTGTGGGTAGTACGGTACTCATGTAGTAAATATCAATGTTGTCTGGATTGGGGGGGGGGGGGGGGGGAGCCGCAACCCCCCCCCCCCCCTCGTCAAATTCCTGCACACGCCCCTGGTGGCTAGATCAGAGTGGATCTGATAAAGGTTTCACTGGCCCTATTGATGACACAAGAGTTTCTCTAGCCAGGTGCAGTCTTTCGGTCAACAGGTATGTATGGCATCTGAGATGTACGAGACTGGCTCTGCTAGTACGGTATGCACTGTTAGCATACATGTAGGTTGAAATCGACTTCACACCTTCAAGCAGTGAGCCTGTTGGCGACAGAACCAACACTAGCATGAGTGTACCCACCAACGGAACCAGTTGGCGCACACCCCCCCCCCCCCACACACAAACATACACACACACACACACACACACACACACACACACACACACACACACACACACACACATACACCATGTACCATGTACCATGTATACGCCCGTCGCAAGAGAAGCACGCAAATCTGCAAATGCACTGGATGTGCACCCACAGATTTTCTCTTATAGCAACTATAGCGAACAAGATCTGAATGAGACAGATCAAGCCTTGCGCCAGATACCTGTCAACTGCCGAAGCCATGTGAATCGACCACCAATGCACACCTGGTCTACACCACACGGAGTACATCGGCATAAAATGGCCAAGACAGATACCTATGCACACCCTACACTGGCTGGGGTAACCAGTATAGACAGCACGCTGCTTTGATAGAAGCAGACACTAGATGCACTGGTACCTTCAAGTGAAATTGGAGTTACTTGCACACACACACACACACACACACACACACACACACACACACACACACACACACATTCGCATACACGCACCCCATTGTCTCTCCTCTGGGTAAAACGTTTGGAGTTTTGGTCAGTGGAGAGACCATCGAGTGCGTGTGTGTGTGAGAAGGGCTTTTCCGTCATCAATCTAAAGAAATGTTCGGGAAGGATCAAACCTGGGGCAATATTTCGAGAGATACGATCCATTGAGGTGGGTAGTTCGTTCTGTGTTCCCATGTATGCTGCCAAGATTCGTTAACTTCCCTCCGGCATTACCGTAATTCCTTCGTTGTAAATTTCTTCGGGGGTACCGTGTTGAGAGGTAACAACAGACTCAGCGGGGAGGAGAGCTTAGAAGACCTAGAACCTAACAGGGTTTACAACATAGCTTGTATTGAATTCACTCACCTCCGTGGCAGAAGCGAAGCAATAATTATCGGAACAGGTGACAAAGTGGGAAGCAGTCTTCCAGGAGGTACGCTCTCTCCTATTCCTAGCATGAGCGGCCAAATGCAACGGCAGAAAATGAGGGATGGCAGGAAGAGATTGCCCTCGGTAGCTTGAAAATCCAGCAAAGGTGCTGGTGGGAGACCTACTCGACTCAGTCCCAAGCCGGAGCAGGATGTTTTGACCAGAGGAACGAGAACAAGTAATTATTTGGACTAACTATTTTTGTCGCTTTCCACTTGTCTCACTTACTCTTTAGCCTAGTTTAGGATATCCGGATGCACACGAACATGCATGGTGCACGGCGGTACATGCATGGTGGGAATGGGATGACGTTCTGACTTTGACTCGTGCCTGGTCATGTGAGTACTCGATCGAGTGCATTGGACATGACGCGTTACTACGCCGTTAGCGTGTTGTCAACGCAAACACCCCAGGCGCTAGGCTAGGCGCGGGCCCGCCCAGGCCGTCGGCCGGCGCGGGCCTGGGCTAGAGAGGCCCAGACTTGCGTAATCAGCAGGGAGTAGTAAAAATACTACATGACTGTACTCCCTGGTAATCACTGCCAAATCAGGGAGTCGGACCCAAACCGACTCCCTGTGTGTTATCAAGCACGCTGAGGAGGTCTGAATCTTGCCCGAGCCTGCAGCCGAAGCCCAAGGCAAGGGCAAAGGCGTAGGCCCGTGGGCTGCAGACAAGGGCGAAAATTCAGCCAAGGCATCATGGCAGGCAGAGCGTGCAGGCTCGGGCAAGATTCAGCCACACCCAGTTATGGCAGACAGAGCGCGCTTGACTTGATTTCTCACAGCACGAAGCAACATATTAGGGAAGTTCAAAGGTCGAAAGGTCGAATTATTGCCGAAATGACGTCAAATTGCAAACTGTCGCGCGTCGAAAAACAACGCGAGTGATCCTGTGCATGCATGCAGCTAGCTCACGTCGAAATACCGGTATGGAGTTTTACGCCAAATAATTGTGACGCGTCACGTCGGAAATGGGCCATGCCGGACTGTGTATGATAGGTCACGTGGACGGTATTGTCAGACACTTTCCCGTTGTGTGTATGATAGGCCTGACCCAGTCGGCCGATTTTCATGTTTATTTTGCATTCCGAACCCGGGGCATTTGATGCCCAATATTATTATGGCGACAGAATATAAGATGAGCTTGTGTGTGTGTGTGTGTGTGTGTGTGTGCGTGCGTGTGTGTGTGTGTGTGCGTGCGTGTGCGTGTGTGTGTGCGTGTGTAGTAGTAGTAGTAGTAGTAGTAGAATTTATTATTTTGATAGGGAAGGCCCTACAGACGTTGCCGTCTTGTTACAGGGAACCCTAAGTGCTCTTTACAGAGCGAAACAAAAACGGATAGATGCTCAACCTGACGACACGAGACAGGCAGAGAATTCCACCTATCAGCGCCAAGGAAAGAAATGGAGAACATGCCATATCTAGTGGTAGCAGCGGGCAAAGAAAGTGAAGAGAATGATTGCCCTCGAGTGCGCCTCTCGGTGCAAGTAGCAGCCGACTGGAGGGTGAACATTGAGGAAAGAAGAGGACTTGTAAGCTGATGAATACAGCGGAAAACAAAAATAAAAAGCCTCAAGTTGAGACGAGATTCGAGGGAGTATAACTTAGCGTGCCGCAAAACAAAGACAGTCGTGTGTGTGTGTGTGTGTGTGTGTGTGTGTGTGTGTGTGTGTGTGTATTATTATTATTATTATTATTATTAAATTTTTGATAGGGCAATCCCCGTGTGTGTGTGTGGGGGGGGGGGGAGTGTGTGTTGGTGCATGCCGGAGTATGTGGTGTGATGTGTGTGCGTGAAAAAAATGAAAAAAGACCAAAAAGTAGGGATTCACTGGCCAGAAAAAGCCACTTCATAGCTGTATGGTGTAGACCAGGCTGAATAGTGGCGGTCAATTCTTCAGCCTTGCAAGCTGTTGCATGTTGAATGGTGCAATCTCAGCACAAGCTGCGATGGCTTCTCCTGTAGCATCGCTATCATAGCCTCCGGCGATGGGCGTCAAGAGTTAGTGGTCAAGTGGTGGTGGTGTGTGTGTGTCATGGATGCAGTGAATGGAATTTTCGGTCTTTGACCACTTTAGTAAGAGGTTTTTCATTTGACTCCACGAGACCACACGACGCTTGCAGATCACAGCACGAACAGTTCACCAGCCACACTCCACGAAAGCAAGTAGTAGTACTCCTGACAAGTCTTGTTTCGTTCCATAGAGATAATAACGGGGAACTCATCAGAGGAGAAGCAGCTACTAGTTGTTGAATGAAGGGGTTTAGCTGAAAAATGCTATTTTATAGAAAAGATATTGACGCACTGAGGTGATCTGCAAGCGTCGTGTGGTCTCGTCGGGTCAAATGAGAAACCTCTTACTACTGTATTTGACGGACCTATTGAAGATGGCAACACAAATTTTTGACCACTTTGGTGGGTATAATTTCCTCCAGGCATAATGGATCAGGCAATATGTGGATCAGGCATAATGGATCAGGCAATATGTGGATCAGGCATAATGGATCAGGCAATATGTGGATCAGGCATAATGGATCAGGCAATATGTGGATCAGGCATAATGGATCAGGCAATACGTGGACCCGGCAGGCATAATGGATCAGGCAATAATTATGGACCAGGCATAATGGATCAGGCAATATGTGGACCAAGCATAATGGATCAGGCAATATGTGGATCAGGCATAATGGATCAGGAAATACGTGGACCAGGCATAATGGATCAGGCAATAATTATGTGGACCAGGCATAATGGATCAGGCAATAATTATGTGGACCAGGCATAATGGATCAGGAAATATGTGGACCAGGTATAATGGATCAGTAGGCATCGGAGGATAATGCTCGAAACGGTGGCAGATTCTGCTCGAAAAGCAGTGAAATTGGCAGAACCATCATGCAAACCTTATGGCGGGCAATTCCTCGAATTCTGCTCCATTTCTTTATCCACATACCAAACATGCATGAAACTAACAAGAAAAAGTACCGAATTCTGCCAATTTTTCTGCCGGCATTATCCGCATATGCCTATCGATCAGGCAATATGTGGACCAGGCATAATGGATCAGGCAATACGTGGACCAGACATAATAGATCAGGCAATAATTATGTGGACCAGGCATAATGGATCAGGCAATATCTGGACCAGGCATAATGGATCAGGCAATAAGTGGACTAGGCATAATGCATTAATGGATCAGGCAATATGTGGACCAGGCATAATGGATCAGGCAATATGTGGACCAGGGATAATGGATCAGGCAATATGTGGACTAGGCATAATGGATAAGGCAATTATGTGGACCAGGCGTAATGGATCAGGCAAAATGTGGACCAGGCATAATGGATCAGGCAATATGTGGACCAGACATAATGGATCAGGCAATATGTGGACCAGGCACAATGGATCAGGCAATATGTGGACCAGGCATAATGGATCAGGCAATATGTGGACCAGGCATAATGGATCAGGCAATATGTGGACCAGGCATCATGGATCAGGCAATACGTGGACCAGGCATCATGGATCAGGCAATACGTGGACCAGGCATAATGGATCAGGCAATATGTGGACCAGGCATAATGGATCAGGCAATATGACTGTGAACCAGGCATAATGGTTCAGGCATTATGTGGACCAGGCATACTTGATCAAACAATATTACCGTATTATCTCTAATATAAGCACAGTCTCCAATAATAGCACGTCTCCAATAATAGAACACCTTGGAGTGGCATTCAAAAAATAAAGTGCTCAGTCTCCATTATAAGCACACTCTCTATCTTTACCGGCGAAAAACCCCTGAAATGTGTGTGTCTGACATGAATTTGGCCGGCAACATACCTATGAAATGAGGTTGAAATAATAATGGAACAGTCTCCAATAAAGGAACGTCTCCATTAATAGCACGGGGCGGAGGTACATTGAAAAAATAAAGGACCGTGCTTATATTAGAGATAATACGGTATGTTCAAATGATGTTTTCTTCGAACGAATTTTCTCTCGAATATTGCGAACGAACGAATATTCTATATTCTTCGGACGTGTCTCAATCACTTCACTCAATCAGACGCAACAGTCATGTTATAAACAGATCACGTGGATAGTAAATATCCACTGGTGAAAGAGCAAATTGGACCAAAGAACAAGATTCACAGTTCTCAGAACATAACTTCTTCCCTCTTATCCTCAACACTACGGAGGAGATGATTGTCGTAGCTGCATAATACAGCCACGCAGCGCGAATTCTCGAGTAATAGAATATTCGAATAGTCTGCCTGCATTCGAATATTCTTTCTGGTGTCGGTATTCTAGAATATTCCGAACATGCAAATATTCCTTTGCATCACTCGACCCACTGGTATAATAATGCTAACCACAAGGCTCCAAAAAATACTTTAGCGTTTGCACCCGAATGCATCAGAGCAGTGTATAGGAAATGGGAGAGTCAAGTGTACATGCAATGGAAAGTCACAGAGCAAAGCTGCATGCATACCCACGTATTCTCACAACACCGCACAAGGATTATTGGGGTACACCAGTGTGCTGGTTTCGATCAACTGGTGAAGCGATTGGCGTTGCAAACAGCCAAAGTGATCGCTCACGACTGAGCTGCAGCAGTACCCGCGACCGGGTGCAAAGTTCCCTGATCGACGTTGCAAACAGCCAACCAGGGTGAAGCAGTTGGCGTTGCAAACGGCCAAAGCAATCGCTCATGCTTGAGCGGCAATAGTACCCGCGACCGGGTGCAATGACTACTGATTGGCGTCGCAAACAGCAGCAAAGCAACCAGTTGAAGGAAGCTGTTCCCACCTATATAATGTGGGAATGGGAGGGTGGGTGGCAAACAAATTCCGGTTGCTGCTCAGTGACACTGCAAGGGAAAGCGCAAGCCAAAGTCAGCGCAGCAAGAGCTACCCAAGGCGACTTGGGCGCGCATGCGCAGCAGTTGAGTGCACGTGTAAAGCCAGCTCAGTCGCAGCTAGCATGAGATAGAGAGCAGCGCATCGGTCTTATCGCTAACTAGGGTTAGCCCAAAAGCTAACCCAACATTTATCATTATTATTTCCTTTACTGGCCTAACTGGCTTTTACAATGTAATACTTTACTACCCACTCTACTCAGTGTCATTACCTTCATTGGCCTTTTATAATTAAATTTTATTCTCCTTTTTAGTCGAT